AACACAATTTTGTTTGCTATTTTCCTGTTTCTTAGACGACAAAAGTCCAACCTCCTTTTCCACCATATCGTTCGTCCAGTATTTAAAAAAAGGAGAATTTAATGTTAAACGACGAAAGAACGCAGTCAGAAAATCGAGCAGAAAAGTCTAAACAGGCTCACAAAAAATTACGGTGCGTGCACTTCAATGCGGAACACTCGGGTATCCAATGACCGAAAACTATGGAAAAGTGCCAGAGAATAGCGAAGTTTAGAATACGATTAAACACAAAAACTGCAATGCGCAGAGGGGCAATGAGTGAAGTGAATAGTGAAGCGTCACGCTCATTGCTCCTGCGCGGATCACATTTTTTCAGAAAATATTGTTGTACAGTCATGTTTTAGGCTATTTCCGTTCTTCGTTGTTGTTTTACGAGAAAGTGTGAGAAAAATACCAGTTTCTATCATTTTGTGGGGTCTAAACATTTAGTGGAAGCCGCCGTCGGTCGATTGGAAGAAGTGAGGCCTGGTTCACACTTACAGCTAATGCGCTGTCGCCGAAGCGGAATTGGCCGCGGCAATGCACAGGGGACGCTACGCCCGGCGGCCGAATTCTTGCAGATTCGCCCGCCGATTCGCAAGTGTGAACCAGGCCTGAGAGTACCCTTTCGGTGCTGATTTGCATATTTTGGTGAATGTTCAAAAGCGCAGCCCCTATTAGCGGCGAGATATTTTGGTGACGCCCTCGTATACAGTTTCCTCTCGTGACGTCATTACCTTACGGACAACAAGTTCGACGGTGTTTATAATTAGCATGGTGGAAGCTATTGCGCTCTGAAACCAACACTACCAACACCGACAAAAATGAAGTTCTTTCATTACTCTTATTTCTGTCGATGAGAAAACCTTTGCTGACGTCATAGTCACCATTCGGCCAATCGTAGAAGGCCGACCACAGCGACGCTTTTGATCGCGCACGTCGCCATCTTTCTGCCCTTGCAAAAACAAGTGTGATCGCGCAGGCACGCGCAACCAAAGCACTACCGAAGCCAGCGAGCTCGCGTTGAAGGCGGAGCGTCTGGTCTCAGCTTGGAACGGAGTAGCAAGCGCCCCTGGGACGTTGAAGCCCTCAGGTGCTTCAACGTCCCAGTATTCGGAGTCTAGAAAACAAACGTTCCGATTCAGCGCTGCTAACGAGCATGGTGGCCAGGATTGGCAGCAGGCGGGTTACATTAGGATACAAAGCCTCTGGGCAAATGCAAGTTGCCTGTACCGCCGAGACGCGCTACGCGGTGCGGTGCCACCACATCTGTGTCAAAACCAGTACTTCCCCTGCGCGGATCACATTTTTTTCAGAAAATATCGTTGTATAGTCATGTTTTAGGCTATTTCCGTTCTTCGTTGTCGTTTTACGAGAAAGTGGAAGAAAAAAATTCCAGTTTCTATCATTTTTTGGGGTCTAAACATTTAGTGGAAGCCGCCGTCGGTCGATAGAAAGAAGTGAGAGTACCCTTTCGGTGCCGATGTGCATATTTCGGTGAATGTTCAAAAGCGCAGCCCCTATTAGAGGCGAGATGTTCTGGTGGCGCCCTCCTATGGTTTCCTCTCGTGACGTCATTACCTTACGGACAACAAGTTCGACGGTGTTTATAATTAGCATGGTGGAAGCTATTGCGTAAGCAGGCGGGTTAAGCTAAGCAGGCGGGTTACATTAGGATACAAAGCCTCTAGGCAAATGCTAGTTGCCTGTACCGCCGAGACGCGCTACGCGGTGCGGTCCCTCCACATCTGTGTCAAAACCAGTACTTCCCCAGGAAGTGTATTTAACAAAACGAATGCTCCGCACAGGCCGCCGATTTGATCGAAGTCGAGGCTTGCGACATACCCATACAAAAATGGTCTATGGTTGTCTATGGAAATTTATATGGCTGTTTATCACCCCCTATGGCCCTCTATGGTCGGCCATAGAAATCCATAAAGACAGCTACAGCCAGCTATAGAAAAATCTATGGCCCTGTGTCTAAAGACTGGGAACCAATACATTTTCTTTACCCGCTTATAGACACAAGTCTAAAGGACACAAGTCTATGGACACAAGTCTAAAGACTGGGAACCAATAAATTGTCTTTAACCCTCTATAGAAAATTTTATGGCCCAGAGTCTAAAGACTGGGAACCAATAAAACTGCTTTAGACGCCTATAGAATATTATATGGCCCCATTTCTAAAGACAGCGAACCAAGAAATGTTTTTTACCCGCCTATAAAAAATCCTTTGGCCCCGAGTTTAAATACTGGAAACCAATTATTTGTCTTTACTCGTCTATAGACAAATTTATGGCCCCGAGTCTAAAGGCCAAGAACCAATACATTTTCTTTCCACGCCTATAGAAAATCACTACCGGCGCTTACTTTTTAGTAAAAACACTCGACGTTAGAAAATTAAATCAATACTAAATTTTTGTAATGGAGGTGACAAACCATGACCCAAGATATGTTCTCTGCTGTTGCAACGAGTCGTGAAAATTTGTAATATCGTTTGTTTGAAAAATCCATTAAAATATTTGTGCCACAATTAACATTAATTATTACCCCCCAAAAGTTAAAATAAATTACAATGGCGCCGAACACTGTAACCAAGCAATAGCTTGATTGCAATCTTCAGCACCAGTGTACTGCATGTCATCACTGCATTGTCAACGTGATTCATCAAACTTAATTATTAAAAAAGATAATCAATAAATTTTAGTTAATTAGCCTAATGATCTACATTTGCTTTTTTCAGGGTGTCGAATTAAGAGATGGAGGCTATTCCAAGAGACAATTCAAATAATGTATTAAGTACGAGTAATATTTGCTCCGCCTCTCCGTGTTTTTGAGACAAATGATGGGTCACCGGGAAAGTCGGATTCAAAAATTAGACTGCTATATATACAGCTAGTGCGAACATAGCATACGTTCGTACTAAATGTATAAATGGCAGTCCGGTGTTGCTGCGTTGTTTCTGTTCTGTGGGGTAGTGTTCTGCTTGTGTTGTGTGTATTCTGTGTGTTCAGAGATGTATGTATATCTACCATGTAGCGTTCACAAGTTTGGGGAACTTGAAGTAAATTTTTTTAGAGTTTGCTGGCTAAAGAGAGCCATAGGATAAGCCATAGAGGAGTCTTTAGCCAACCATTAGACAAGCTAAAGGGCGCTATGGCTGGACAGCGATAGGGCCATAGACAAAGCTAAAGAGCCCCATAAAGGCGACCATAAGAAATGCTAAAGACAGCCATAGAAAATTCTTTAGCTAATTGGGCCAAATAGCTAAAGCCGACCATACAAAGAATTTTCTATAGCCGACCATAGGACATTTTTGTATGGGTAGAGACCGACGTCGTTGGCCACAACATCGCACTCGCCTAGGGCGGACGATGCTGCCTGACGAGAATGTGCCGACTCTAGCTGTTGGAGACGGTGATGACACGCTTGAAGTTGTAGGTCAATAATCATTCTTAAAAAAAAAGAAAAAAAAAAAAAAAGAACGTCAAGAACGGCTTGGTTTTTGAACTCATTTTTGAAAAAGTTCCACGACTCACGTGCTCAACGCAAGCATGTAAACATTACCCACTTCGGCGATTAAAGAAGTCAACTAGATACGCTTTGAAACCAAGTGATTATGAGCATTACAAATATGCTTCAACAGTGCATATGCTGTCGCTTTTCTCTGTTGCTTCTTTTCTTTTTTGTTTTTTTTTAACGATGGGGATGTTTGTGTGTGTGTGTGTTTTTTGCATTTTTGTGCCATATTGAAGCTAAATAAGCGCAGGCGAGTGAACCCTAAAAAAAAAAAAAAAAAAAAACGGAGCAAAAAAACAAAAAAAACAACAACAAAAAAAAACGCTAAGCTGTTTGTTATTTTGTCGTCCGGTTTTCTCCGCATTGTAGGGTTCGTAAAGTCAAATCATTGCTATTTTGGAATTTTGTTGTGCTGCCCTGAAATTGTCGTCGAGTCCTTGACACTCAAAGGGTAGGGGAACTTTAGTTAAGCCGCCTGCATCCCCCGAAGCGAGGCCAGCGTCTTTCGAGGTCAGGATTTCGCGGCTTTTATGACGTCGGGAGCTAAGCCATTCGCACCTGCGAGCCTGAAGAAAGGCTTCGGTTACAAACGTGGCCGAGTTTGGAGAGGGCTGTTCGAAGAGCCGGAGCCGGAGATGTGTTTTTCACGCAGTCCACGGACAGCGTCGTCTTTTTCGTTTTGCTTCGGTATGTTGTGGGCATGCACCGCTCCTCGCCGTAGTGGATTGTCGAAACGAAACACACACACAAAAAAATACTGACATTGGAAAAGTGGAAGGGGTAAAGGCGCGTTCACACTCTTGCAACCGAGTACGACCGAGAAAGACTTCTTGGGACCGGATGCACTGAGCGGAGCTGGTCCTAAGAGATCGCAAGAGGCTTAAAAACCGGTTTGGTCTCTCTCGGTCGCACTCGGTTGCAAGAGTGTGAACGGGCCTTAAAGGGGGACAACCATGAAACTTCGGCGGTGTTCCGACCCTTCAAATCCCAACACCCCGTCCCCTGGCTACGCCGCTGGTGTGCAAATACGTTCGTGTTTTCCAAATAAAATTGAGCTGCCGGTAGCCGCTCTGAGTTTGCACTACTACTTCTTTCAGTTCGGTTGTTTTTTTTTTTTTTCTTGCGCTTCTAAGTATACGTTTGTTGCAGCTGACGTCACTTCCGGCTAAACTGTAGGTCAAAACCAACATTGTCGTCTACTATCAGTGCCTTGTCACCATGTTGGAGGCAAAAAATGTTCTTCTCCTGACACGAAGCGCAGTCCATAAACCCGTAGTTAGGGTACGAAGCTTTTCTATCAAGATCATAAGTCAACATAATAATCTAAAGCGAAAGTCCCATGCGTTTGGCCGCGACGGGAGGGCGATGCATAGACGCGGACATCGGCGGCCTCATTTGGAGGTCCCTATAAGCTCGTATCGCTGGCGACGCATATGCACGAAGGAGCAGCAAAAAACCACCTGTAAATTCTGCAGTTTCTTTTTTTTTTTTTTTTTTAATTAGCAGAAAAAACATTTGAATTGCGCGTTGACAAAATTAAGTAAAGGTAGGCTGTATCAACTCACTTATTAAAATATCCTTGCCCATCTCCCCCCCCCCCCCCCCCCCAAAAAAAAAAGGAGCGGCTAGGGAAAAAAAAACCTTCCCCGGAAAAAGAAAAACACAACAACAACAAAAATCTGCGCAACAGCGTCGAAAATGCGCCGACCCCATAGCGGCGCCATCTGTTGACAGCCCGTGATATCGCGAGAAGAAACTAACTCTAGCTACAGTTACTCTAGAGTTCGAGTGAGGGTTAAGGGAGAGTATCATCGAAAGAAGCGGTCGCGAAAGAGTAACTTGGAGGAAGAGAGGGTTAAAGTAGGGTAACTTAGGGCAGTTACTCTCCTTTGACACCTTTTTTTTTTAGAGTGCATTCCAATTTTTCAGAAGTAACCACGCTGTCTCAGTCGATAGTTCTAAGTGATTTTTTTAAACTTTAAATGGGAAAATGGGGCCCCTTTCCGGTTGTTTTCGCCATTCAGCCCCATGTATTCGTGGTCATCCTGGGCCACCATTTTCCCCCTGAAAGGTTTCAAACATCGCTTATAACTTTTTGAATAAAAAAACAGTTCGTTCTGAAATTTTGGCCTCTGATCCGAACCTCTCGCGCTACGTTTTGGTAGAGAGAGACATGGGCGTTTGGCAATGCGTAGTTTAGTTTTCGCGATTAAAAACACCCTACACTTTTTTCTCTCTTTTTTTTTTTCGGGGACTGTAGTATACGTGTTTACGTTAACTTATCGCAACTCGTAAAAAATAGCTCTAAGATGCTGCCAAGACCACCAGCATCCTGATTTCGGGGAATCATGTTTAATGTTGTTGCCGCAACGCCCTTAAGCCGCTGTAACTAATACATCGACAGCCTGCAGACACTTCTGAGGCGAGTGTTATGAACATTGGGCATACACAAAATGTCTTTACAAATGCTTGAATCATGTATGAAGCGAACATGCTTGATCATGCTTGAGGAGTGTACGCCGATAATTCTGTCAGTATGCCGGCAGCGAATCTGTGTGTGTGCAACGAATATGTAAAGACCCGTTCACACACTTGCGACTGCTTACGACCGGAGAGGCTAAAAACCGGTCTTCAAGCCTTTCATGATGGCTTACGATCGGTTCCGCAGCAGCGAAGCCGGTCGTATACGCCGTCACGAGAGGCTTAAACACCGGTCGTATCCAAGTCGGGCGTAGTCAAAGACAAGTATGTGAGTGGACCTTAAGATGGATGAGAAGTGTGACTGCGGCTCTAGGGGGTTCGCTTTGGTTAAAGCCGATTTACAGCTTTAAGCGTGTGAAAGTGTTTAGTGTGCTTGGAATTAATGAGAACGTTTCGAACCATTCAGAGACGTGATTCTGAACGAATCGGGAATGGCGACCTGTGCAAGGGAGCAGGGACTAGTGATTTGTAGAGCTTCTTTCAATGCTTCCTGGTGCAGTACTGCGAGCGATCGCCACGGCTGAGCGTGTGCTCTACGGAAGAGGTGGTGTACAGCAGCTACGTGGAGATGTCGTTCGCGACCAGCGGCAAGCTGGTCAACACGGCCCGCGTGCACTGCCTCTGCCCGCCAACGCACATCTTCGCCCAGAACCAGACCAAGTTCCACCAGTACAACAACGGCGTCACCTCCATGGCCGTCAGCTCACTCTGCAAGCCCGTAAGCTCTGGGGGATCTTCACCAGTTGGTCAAAAAAAAAGAGGGATTCAAGTCATTTCCAGTGAAAGTGTGCACGGTTTGTCGCTTTGTGATCATTTGACGATGGTTATGGTTAAGGGACGTTAGACACTCAGAGGAAATGAAATCATTGGGTCGGTCCCGCCCTGTCATCCTTTGGCCATGGCCGACACCCCGTACCGATGCTCTGTACTTGCTCGCTGAGCACGTGCAGGGTCAATCATCACTATCTAAAGAGCGCGTCCAGCTAACGACCGGACCCTCGCAATGCACTCTAAAAAAAGTTTGTGCGTCTACTTTCACGCACAACACTCGGAGAGCCAATCACCGCAACTTACGGAGGCAGCTCGGCGAATGACGATGCCGAAACATACGTTTAGACAAAAAAAAAAAAAAAAAACGCAGCCTGAGTTGTGACATTAAGCAATACAAAACGTCACGCTTCCATTGCTTAATGTCACAACTCAGACTGCGTTTTTTTGGTCTAAACCTATGTTTCGGCATCGTCATTCGCTGACCTGCCTCCGCAAGTTACGGTGATTTGCTCTCCGAGTGTTGTGCGGAAAAGAAGACGCACGAGCTTTTTTTTAGAGTGTGATTGGGTTCAAAAACGTCCAGTGCACAGAGACACTAGGCGGAACGTTTCGCCACGTGCTTTTGGCCCTGCGCTGATAACTGTTTTGAACCCGTTTTATATGAGCAGCCTCATTCGTTGGGCGCAGTCTGAAGGTATCAGTGATTGGACCTGAATGTGCTCAGTGGGGAGGTAACCGCATAATGAATTGCTAGAGCTTCCTCCTAATGTACCAGCGGCACCGCTCATAAAGTTCACATTCATGAATAATATAAGATATACGTAAGGAAATATGTCTCTTTCTTAAAAGCTTTCTTATTGATAGTGCCATTCATACTTGCCGTTTCAAGTTATAAAGATGATAAGATCCACAGGAGCCATAACTCATCACAACATGCGAAGCAACCATATTTGAATAGTGTAACAAACATCCAAGGGATTATCACTGCTTTTTTTAAGCTTCCTCACTAAAAGTAGCATTCATACATAACACCTGAAGGTATAAGGATTATGATTCTTATGAACCATAACCAAATATAAACGAGATTATCATATCCGAATAAGGTAACGGATATACCCCAACTAATAATACAGTAAAACTCTTGTTGGTGTGGGGAGGGGCGTCAGATGTTGAAAAAAGCTTTCCGCGACCGGTGGCTGATGCCTCCAATGGCGAGGCAGTTGCAATGGTGACGACTTGATGGGTTAACGTATTTCCATTTATTTACATTCCACGGGCAGACGAAACACGCCCGCGACCGGCCTTCGGGGTCTTTTTTTACCAAACTCCCCCGTACTACCGCCACGGGGCATCTTCCGTCCCCAAGGGATCAAACATTTCCCGCCAGCCAGGGGTGGCTTCGCGCTTGCCCTGCGCCGGACACACCAATATTACATCCTCTCCAGCTTCCCTGATTCCTGGGGGAAAGGGGGGGGGGGGGGAGGGGGGGGGGGGGGGGACATCAGCAGCGTTGGAGGGTGGCTAACTAAAACAAAGGACTGTGCAAAGAAAAAGTACCTGCAGGTCCTTAGAACTCTCATTTCAACATGCCGATTGAAGGTATCGCAATCATATGGATCATATGATGAAGCCATCATACCATACGAAAGAACCAAACACTCCAAAAAATTCGTCTTGAAAGGTTCTGCGACGCCCCGAGAACTTCTTCAGCTCGCGAAGAACGGTTTCGCCTCAAGCACTATCGTCCCCTGGCTCGGAAACTGCGTGATGCAGAACTCTTTCGCATCAAAAAAGGGGTTTAAAAAAACACCTTATGTGTTTTTCACAGAGAACCCTTTTAGAGGTGCTTAAAGGGACACTGACAGGGTATTTATGCTCACCAAGGTTTTTATTGGTACATGACATATGAGAGCCCAACTACCCAGAACACAATTTGCCGCCTCGAAATTCGGTTTCTTCCCGCCCGAAAGCCGCCGATCGAGAACTGGCCGTTTTGAGTCGCGCTCACTCCCTACTCCGTAGTCGCGGGCCGTTTTCTTTGGTTTAGACACGACCACCAAATTTAATCAAAGTCGTGGGTCATCGAAGGCACACATTCAATACTAAAAAAATAGACTAAATATAAGACATCCAGGTTTAAGTTGAAAATACGTTGATTTAAGAAGAAAGAAAGAAAAAAAGCTGCACAGTCACGTGACTTTTGGTAACTTTCTCCTTCTCCATATTCCTTCTTCCTCCCGAGTTCAGTTTCAATTTCGGTTTCCAACGCTGCGTTTTTTTTTTTTTTTTTTTTTTTTTTTAACTATACGTTATGTTTTACCAAAATATTGATTGGGTAGTCGTCTGGCACCATAATGAATCGCGTGGCAAAAAAAAAATAAATAAGACTATATTTGGGGGGGGGGGTGTCAGTGTCCTTTTATAAAACTTTTTAAGGTGCAATATACGGACAAGCCGGAGAATCCCTAAGAGTTCTTTTAGGACCAGATTTCTTTAGAGTGTATGACATAATGTATGCATGTTTTTGAGCTATAGTATGCCGATTAGGCCCAAGCGCACACTCTTCAACATAAATACGGCCTACTTCACCCTTGCTTTGCATTTGCACTTCACCCTTGCTTTGCTTTGCTATAACCAGGGTTCCGTGTTTTCGGATAAATCCGAAAAACTCCGAAATACACCCGCCGGTAAAATTTTCGTCAATTCTGATTTATCCGATAAACTCCGAATTTTTACGTGCCAATGCCTTGTCCCCCCCCCCCTCCCCCCCCCCTCCCCCCCCCCCCCCCCCCCCCAATAAACTAAATAAAAACGGTATTTTACAATTAACTTTGCTCAGCGCACAGGGTCAATGGTCCCGAGAAAATGCCACCACAGTTATCTTTCAAATCTCGGATCATTCGCAGAAGGGGTCTTATCGCTTATCTTGTTAATGTTCAGGACGACACGTCATTGTTCTTTCGGGTCACGACAAGAGCCTCTTTGTTGGTTTCCAGTTTGGGGCACACTATTTGTGTTTTAAGAGGAAGGAGAGGTTGTGTTCTCTAACAGTTAAAGCTATGGACCATAGAGATTGCATAAAATAGGAAGAGGGGCAGTTGAAACTTCCCTATTCTACCCTTTACCACTCCACCTCGCGCGGCCGCGGGGTAGCATGGAATAGGATGGGGTGAATACGTGCTTCCCAGCGACTACCTCTAGGAGTTTATTTCTAAGGTATCGACGTCTATCAAAGCCACACATGTGTGCAACTTTTGCCGTGGGACAAATTGGTATTGCTAATGGCATTGGCACCAACAGTAAATCCAGCTGAAGAAATATTAATCGATATAAGCGCGTTTTATTTTTCTTTATGTAGCAATGTTTACACCCGGATATTATTCATTTATTTTTTATGGGAAACACTGCGAAATTAAGCTCCGAATTTCGGAGATTTTGGAATCAAACAAAAATAAACTCCTATAAACTTCGAATTTTTGGGGAAAAAATAAACTCCGACAAGGCATCCCCCGAATTCAACGAAAAATGAACTCCGAAAACACGGAATCCTAGCTATGACTACCTGACTTGATATATATGGATCGCAGAGAATAACACACACTCAGAACAGCAAAAACAAAGTACCGGGCACCTTTTTCGCTCATCATGGTTTGTTTATAATATGCCTCGTCATAATCTACCTCCAACTTGCCCAACTCAAACCTTGTTCAGGTTATGTCGTATGTTAGGGTAAAAAAGAAAACCAGGTTCTTTTTTTTTTTCTATTTAAATCTGAACTACGCATTGCCGAAATCCCAGACTGCGCCAGAATGCCGTGTTAGTGGTTGGAATAAGATTAGGAAGTTGCATTACTTTGGGTTAACAGACTAGAACGTTCGAAATCCTAAACAGATATTTTTCTTCAAACTTTTTATTCGGGTTACTGTACATTTTTTTTTAACATTGGCACCTTATTCCAACCTCTAGTCACTAAAAGTTAAAAAAAAAAATACCTTTTTTTTTTTTTTGCGAAGTTTGTATTGGAATCTCGGACTCCGCAAGGATGTTGCACTACAGTCCAGTGCAACATTCTTGCCGAGTCTGAGTTTTCGGCAATACGTAGTTTAAAGCCGATCTAAACGAAACCGGATATCGGCTTGCGGGTTCCGAAACGCAGTCTTTGCGACTTCCGCTACCCGTTGAATGAGTAAATGTTGCTGTTAAGTTTGGACAGTTTGGAGAGCGAGGGGCCAACCGTAAGTGGAAGGTAATTGCGTGGTTTTTTTCTTCTCGCCCGCATTGCGCAGCCGAAAGGGGGGAAGTTTTCGAATACTTGTGGCGTGACCCTGAACTTGTCGAGACAGCACGGCAGCACACTAGCACAATGCGATGGGGTGGGGAGGATGAAGAGCGGTCCAAACTAAAGTCACTGGTTCCAGACAGGATTCCGGCGTGCGGTTAGACCGTATAGGAGGAACACGGAAATTGTTTATGACATCTGGGGCCGATTGCGGGCAGAAAGTGTGCATTGCGTTTGGACGAAGCACCAGTGCACCGACGGCTGGAGTGGCCGATGAAGTGATGTCACGGCGGTTTTCCAGGCGGCCATTCAAAATTTGTCAATCGCATACGGTCTAAAATTTGCATCATTACCCCGGCATGTAGCATATGACGATATTATACATCCCAGGTAGTAAAAGCTTTTTTCACAATTAACCACACATTGTCCCGCCCCTCGGCATCACATTACAAACAAATAACGAAATAATATACCAACTGACATTTAACGAAATGACAGAGAAATGCAAAGACTTCTTAAAAACATACACAGATGGTTAAAAAACGAAAGATTACGTGGGTTGTGTTTTTATTACAGAACTAGAAACACAACAGTTCAGACTTTCAAGACGTGTTTCTATTTCTACAGCAGGGGCCTATGCTGTCCTGGCTGCACTTAACTATGCAGAG